TGTCCGGGCCCAACATTAATAAAGTTATATTGTTATTCTCTCCGTCCCATATTAGATGAGAATCTTACTAAATTTATTTTTTTTCATATTATTTGAGCACTTATTAAATTAGGATAGAATTAATTAATTCTTTTCCATTTTACCCCTACAATTAATATGACCATTCCTATATTGTATGTGTATTTTTTGTAACTCATTTCAATGTGCATTGATATAAAGAAAGGGCAAAATGGTGAAGTCTTCCAATGTATTAATGATTTCTTAATCACCGTGTAAAGTTGGAAGTGCCCATCTAATATGGGACGGAGGGAGTATAGTTTATGTATTGTTATAAAAATAGTAAAGATTGTTATAATATATTTTGCTCATAAGCAAGCTAATATAGAAACTTATTTGTGATCTGTCTTTTTAATTTCAATTTTAAATAGCAAATAAATGTAGCGATAAGATTGAGGGTAGAAATGAAGCATATCTTTCTAAATTTAAGTTAAAATAAACAGAATAGAAGTAACATTAGGGTTATCGATAGGACGATGCATTCGATTATTTTTAAAAAAATTATATCATTCAAATTTTCGGCTATTTTATAATGTATAACCAAAATTAAAATTTTAAAATCATCCCAATCCTAATATATGTGACACAAGCAGTACAAAAATTAGTCTTTTTTTTGTTCTCTTGTAGATATTTTAAGTTATTATTTATTGTAAATTATAGTACTTTTTATTAAAGTTTTTAATAACACATGTTACTTTTTATGTTTGAGAGTTAAACCAACTTTTTTTTATATGTCTTATATAATAATTTATATGTGTTTTGTCCTTTTCCATTTTGAAAAACCAATACTCTCTCCATTTTATTTTATATGTCATTTCTTTTTATAAATATATTGGTTATTCCCTCTTCTTATTGGAACACATGTTGACTTGTGGTGAATACTTATTCCCTCTTCTTATATAGTAAAATATCCTAAATGTTTAATCTCATTAATACGTCTACTTCAATCCATTAGTCAAATAATGTGATGGCACGTGTCAACATTAGAAACAGTAAATCAGTAATTATGTATAGTAGCTCACCCTAGCTACCTATTAATTTCTTTGTTCGCCCCACCAACTGAACCACTTTTGAAAAAGAAAAAAAAACTGTGCGCAATTCATTTTCTTAACCGTTCCACCCATTCTTAAATTCCATTAACTCTCAAGTTTCATCTATACATATTCCATCTCTAATAATAATGAAGAATCATCATTGCATTTCAATACTCTTAATTTTACAGATTCAAATTTTTTTGCATCAATATTGCATTTGAATTTGGTACACATACATACATATTGAAGTACTAATCACATTGCTTAAGAATGAATTAACCATGGGAAGAAATTGTGGAAATGAAGCAAAATGGGAATTGGCATCAGAGATTTGTGATCTGTCTAAAGGTGTTCCTTGTTGTTCTCATCGATCTCTGTGTACTACAGATTCCGCATTCATAGACTGGTATCTTCTTCTTGACGTACGCCTCTTTATTCATATATTATCTTTCTGTTTTCTGTATTTGGGTGAGTTTAATTTGATTGTTGTGATTTACTTGTGAGTTGATCGATCAGGTGGATGAGGGTGTTGGAGTAGATGTGATTAAGCAGCGATATCGTAAACTAGGTACTAATTTGTATTTTCAAACTCTGTTTTTCTTATAATTTGATTTGGTTTTGATTGTAGCATTGCAGCTTCATCCTGATAAGAACAAACATCCCAAAGCTCACATTGCATTCAAGTTGCTTTCCCAGGTACCTAGGGCCTAGCCATATATATCAAAATTTGGTACTCCCTCTGTCCCAATTTATGAGACATTTTTCAAATTTCAAGATTCAAACAAGTCTTTTCATTATGATTGATGTTAGGGAGAAGTTGATTCACTAACTTTAAAGAATTATTTTTGAGACCGTCAATACTAAATTGTAGATTGGATAAGTACAATCAATCCACTATACGTGCAGGATGCAAAAAGCAAAAAAGTTATGCTTGCATTTCAAGGTCTTCCTATAAAACTTACCATAACTTGCATTTCAAGGTTCCAAGTACATAATAGTAGTTAGTTATACATGAATTTGAAGTGGAAAACAAGACTAATGAATAGTCCTTGTTTCCTTATCTATGCTTCTGAATAATTAGTTATCATTACCCATTTTTTATTTATTACCAAAAGCTCTCATCTTGTTTTGGTACAGGCATATGTTTGCCTGACGGATGAAGCAAGCAGAGAGGCTTTTGAAACAGACAGAAGAAACCACACATGCCCAAAGTGCTCCATAAAATCAACTGAAAAAACACCTAGACATACAAATGTTGCACAAGTAGCCAAAACATTTCCTCCTCCACGCAAGGCACGGACAGTTTCCAGAAGCATTTCACGGCGTGTTAAAGAACTTAAAGCCAGATTTACTGAAGAAGTTTCAGTAATAAACACCTGCTTGAAAGCGAAGTCTTCACTATCTACTTACTCAATGAACCAACCTCAGACTTTCACAAGAAGAAATGAGACACCGATCTTCAACCCATCAAATTATGAGTTACAAGATTATCCTCATCCTAGCAATTATAGGAAGTTGCTTCATAGATTTCAGGAAAGAAACACTGACAAACATGTTTCTAGCTACCCAGTGTTTGAGCCCAGCTCAGAAAAGGAAGCCTATGTACATAGAACCAGCTCTAAGAATATGTTCTACAACTAACAGTCGTTATGCTTCTATTCTATGATGCACCTTTCAGGTTGTCTAATGACTCATTACTGTCTTTTCCTGGCAGTGTTTGGATCATACCGCACTGAAAAATAAAACTTACAACTAGCAAATGACGTTCCCTTAAAGTTTTCAACTTCTTCATGTCATAGACAAATCAGAGTTCAAATACCTGTAAAAGATGTGTTTTAATGATTAAATAAATGAAGGGCTTTACTGAATATTAGGAAACAAAGCAAGATTTTAACAGGCCAGAAGTGTTGTTCCATATCTTTATATATGGTACAAAAAAGAACTCTTTTGTTGTATCACCTAGTCATTGACTTGATAGAAAACTTCACCATTCGAGTGTGAGGGCATTTTTTCCAGGAACTCGTCCAAAGCATTCCTTGATCTAATAATAACCTTGGGACGCTTCATTCTTAGATTGTTTTAACCAGAAGTTCATCCTCATTGTAGGCTCATTCTGCTTTAGGAGATCATTTGGCTAATTTGAGGATACCATCATCTACCAATGGTTGCACTTCCTTCTTCACAAGCTTGTGTACCATAGCACTTGAAGTTTCCAACAATGCACTAATTACTTTCGCACTGCAAATTGTAAAAGAAGTTAGAAAGAAGTTGTTTCTCTGCAAATTTGATTGGAAGGAGGAAATGTGTTCAACCAACCAACCTGTGGCCTTGAGCCCAAATTGAACATTTTCCTTTCAGCGCTTTTTCATACAAAGTGCAAGCAAAAGAAGGGGAGTCCAAGATCAGTTTTCTGATGGTCCTGCTAGAATGGAAGTGTTCAAAGAGATGTTGTTCATCTGACCCCTCCATTTTAGGATGTGCTGCCAGAGATGCTATAACACCATGTAAGGTTTCCAACTTTCCATCTAAAGTTGGACTAAGGATGCTGTCAGCACCTCCCATGGCAACCTATATCAAACCAAAATGAGTGGAACATCTAGATTTAGCATGTTTAAAGCACTAAAGACAGTCATATTTCCAGATTAAGTACAGAGTGAGTTTGAGATGAAGTGGGTCAACATGTAATGTCACAACCCAAAGTTTATTAACTATGAAGTCTAAAAATAAAATAAAAGGAGGCATAGTTCAGGAAATACATCCAACATTTGTTCAGGACCTAGTGGTACCTAAAGGTTATGATACATTGAAAGTACAACAATTTTATTAATCAAACAGGATAATACCTCATATATGACATCTTTACCGAAGTTTGATCTTAGCAATTCCTCAGCCATCTCACAACATGCATCAATGAGTTTCTGCATTATTGATCAGGAATGGCTTGGTAAAGGAGATAAAGGTGAGTGTGTAAAGGAGGGGAATACAAAATTCATTTTATAAAGGATGTGGCTGAAGGAAAGGATCACAGAAAGTGAAATAGGCAAGGCAGCAAGCTTGATAACTGAGAACAAGAAACAACTCTATAGATATCTGAATGAGAAAATAGAAAACATTGACCTCAGCTAGCCCACTATGGACCAATAATTCTTGCCGCCTTGTAAGAGGATCCTTCTTTCCTCCTTCATTCACTAGTGAACTCTCGGTGACATCAGCATCTTCTTTACCAGCTTCACCAAGCCCTGAAGTTTCTGTTTCATTTACTTCTGATGGGCTCTATCACATTGTAAGATAAAACAATGATTAAATTTAGCTGCACTGCTTACAAGGTACTTTTTTTTATAAGATGATAACTGTAATTTCAAGAAAAGCTTAAAAAGTACCTTGGTGACAAGCGAAGGAACAGATGAACCAAGGGCTGCGAGCTCATCAGGGCTGAAATGGCGCGAGCTATTTGGATGCAGTAATTGCAACAATGGGCGCCTACCATTCTGTGACAACAACCACAATTAAAAAAACACACAGGATACATACACAAAAGTTGATTGGGGGGGGCGGGGGTTTCTACACCAATGAAGGACGGACCTGATCTGAAAGAAGCTCCTTCAGAATTCCTTCAAGCTCACGAATGATGACCTGCAAAGAGGTCAACCTGACCAGCTTTAAAAGTAGAACTCTTTGATAACAGATTAGGAAAAGCAGCTGGAACAAACCTTTGATAGAAGTTTTGTGTCATCGACAATTGAAAGGATGGAGACAAGCACCTGAAAGTTATTGAGAACAGAAGCTGTGAAAATAATAGGAGCATAAAGGTACTAATAAATGAGAGAAGGTGCATGGATGAAGACCGGTAGTATCTGAAAGAAGGCACGATGGATGCAAATAGACCAAAGCATTTAGAAAATGCAAGAAAAGCATGCTTACCAAAGCCCCACATTTATCACGTGCTACCTTTCCAACCTTGTCTTTCATCCCTTTGATGATCTTCTTCCGCTCCTAAAACAGGAAAGTCCAAATGGCATTTGAAATCCGTTCACTAACAGAAAATCCACTAGGACAAGTTTAAGTCATATAAAGAATGCTCAAAAACCTTTGCGCTCCCATGTTTGATGCAGAATATCCCAATCTTGGATCCATCCTTTGTGTGAATCATCCGAACAAGGTCTGGACTTGACAACTGCTGGATTATTTCTGCAGCAGAAGTCTTGGAACAGACTTAAATTTAGAAAGGGATGTTCACAATAAGCCAACTCATTAATACCTCATTAAGGTTTCTGAGGTACCTTATCAGCAATAGTTAAGTACTCCACAAGTGCCCTGTGTATAATTGAGTGGTCCAGTATCCCTTTCTCCATAATAGGCTGAAGTACAGAGGTCATGTGTCGTATAACTGAACCCTTTTGAAGCTGTAGGTTGGATATAACGTCAACTAGCCTGGAAGTATCATAAAATGTGAATGGCAGCTAAATTAGGAAATAAATGCATTCATTAAGTACAAATATGAATACAACGTAAATTATATTTATCGAAAAAGAATCAACATGAACGCATCAGTTTTAACACCAAATTTTGCTATCAATACACATAGTAAGGTGATTAGCAATTTAATGAACAATATCAGATGAAGGAGCAACAGTAAGGCGATATTTAAGAGAAAATGTCAAGCAGAGTAAAACAAAAAAATATCATAAGGATATCCTGTTGAAGAAGAAAAAACATGTCCCAACCTGACATCACAACCTAGAAAACTTTTAAATTGTCTAAAGTACGCATGCAGCATGCTGTCACTAACAGCTAGGAATTACCTTGCTTCCTTCGCTGAGATCAAATCTTTGAACAACTGAAGCTCTGGGGAATACAGCTCCATCAGAAGAGTTTGTTTTTGAGCTGCATTTCCCAACTGATAAGCATGTTCAACAACTGCAATAGTAAAACCAGTGTTTTATTAAGGGAATTACTGGAAAGAAACCTTTCTCCCAAAATTACAGCTGGCAACAGCTAATGAACTGATTTTTAAACAGAAGGGCAGGATCGAGCAAAATAGAACGAAATCTGTGGCAAAAAATTAATCAAAACCAAGTTCACAGCAATAGGACAGGTCATCTTACCAAGTGAACCAACCATATGCCTAAGAAGAGTAGAAACATGCCCATGAAGAGCAGAAATAAATTGTGCCTGCTGCTCTTTGGATGCTGCAAAGCACAAAAGAAAATGTCAAATAAAGGACAAATAAGATTTTTTTTTAGTTAATAAAATTGCTCGGTAAAGTATAATTAGTACCAGTGTTTTCAAAAACGTTTTTGGGGCAAGTCTCGGGGCGGGGCGGGGCATACCAAAAACGCTCCGGGAGGTAAATTAAAGACGTAGATCCATAAGGCGTAAGTTCTAAAATTTGAGGCGTAAGCCTCGAACATAAAAACGTAAGACTTGGGCATAAAAAACGTAGGCCCGGGAGTTTTTAATTTTTATTTAACCTTTTTTGCTTTAAATCATAGTTTTTATTATTAGTGTAATGATATTTCTCAAATAGTAATTATAATACTTTTTTCTTTATTATTGATTATTAATACTTATCTCAAATAAATATAATTTTTTATATATTATAGGTTATTTATAAAAAATATTATTAAAATCATTGAAAGGTTTACTTTTGCTTATTTTATTAGTAATAATACTAAAAAACTGAATATAGATGAGACTACGCCCCGTAGATCCGTGGGACTTACGCCCTATGTCTCGAGGCTTACGCCTCTCCCCGTACTGTATAAAACGCCTCGCCTCACACCCCCACCTTTTAAAACACTGATTAGTACAAAATTACCATTATCAAGCATCTTTGTCACCAGATGAACTGCATAGGTATTGGTAGCAAGAGTGATAAAATGAGGTCGAATCTCCACAAACACAGCATTCCTTTCATCTTGTGTACAATGTTTCACACAAGTCTATTAATAACAAAAAAAAGAGTTAGCAAAAGAATTGGCAAAACCATTAGGAGCATCATAAATCCTTGTCATTATCAAGAAGAAGAGGGAGGATAGAACCTGAAGAACACGAGAAGAAACATGGGAGCTTGCTATTTCAGGGATCTTCCCTTTCATTTTCTTCAAAGCATCACTCACCAATCTGCATCAATGGATAAAAAGAATAAACGACGTTATAAAGACCAAGTAACAAATAAATTACAATCTTCCAGCAAGATTCAGAATCAACTCAAATGTTTGAAGTTGTATGACAGCACACCTCGATCTTTCTTCTTTCGCAATATTTCGAGTTCTCATCTTCTCCCATAGTGATGCTAGCTCCTATTATAAGACCAGTGGATGAATGACAAAGTGAGCATATCTAGATAACACAAACAGTTTTGCAAAAACAAACAATCAACTAGCAGAGTATTCATGAAGTCATTTAAGGTGGAGGCACCATAGTGATAAACATTTAACCTCTACACAAACATACAATGCTAAGCTGAAATATCAAAGCTGAGGTCTTACAATCCCAAATCCAAAGAAAAGTGCAAAATTTTTAACTGTAATATCAAGAAATATTTCAATTCAAATGTTAAACACAGATCAAATCCAGTTTCCCACCTAGTCTTTTTGTAAATTCAAGATATCCTTGCATTTCCGATAAATGGGTCAATGTGTCGATTTCACTAGGACAATAGAGATGGAATAAAACATATTTAAGAAAAACAACAAAAAATGAAAAGAAGTACAATTGAGCATGCTGTCTTTCAGCATAGCGATTGGAAAAGAAAAAATAGATTGAGAACATTTTCAGGAGCACTATAAAAAGCAACTAAAAGCTTTAGAAAAATGCAGTACTTGCTCCAATGTGTAATGCTTCTTCCTCTTCTTCTTCCTTGCTTCAGCTAACTCCTGCAGTAAAACCCCATTACCAATATATCAAGCAAAAGAAGATTTAGCAGCTAAAAATTATAACTTTTTCAACAGAACTATGGGCGACATCACCAAAAACTTAAACAAGCAAAAAAACAATTTCGGAACTGAAATTTCAACCTTTTAACCATTTGAATTCCCCCTACACCAAAATTTTGGACAGAAATATTGGCATACCTTTGCCTGTATACGACGCTCTCGCTTGGATTCAACTGGGACATGAGGCTTGGGTTGTTGCTTCTTATCTCCCAGCTGCTTTGTCGATTTATGGGGTTTCTTCAGAACCTTGTCCGTTGATGATTTCAGTTTCTTCGGAGCTGATTTACCTCCGGCTGCTGGTGCATGCTTTCGCTTTTTGGAATCGTCTGGTTTTGCCGCCATTGTTGTCAAGTGTTGAGTTCTGCGTATTGGGGTTTTGCAAGGGTTTATAGTTTGTGGCGCTTTTGCAGACTCGTCTTGAACCCTAAAACTTAGAAGCTTTTAAAAATATGTTTTCTTCAAGTTAGCCTTTTTATTTTATGGCATTTTTTTAGTATTTGTTAGGGTGTATATAGTATATTAAATTAGTAATTATACATTAGTTATGCTTATGCTTAGATTATTTTTAATAATATATTTTTGAATTTTGATGGACAATTATATCTTTAATCATATTAATACATGCATTAAAATTCCTTGCATAAATTTTCATGTATTAGTTATTCGTACATAAATATTTAATATGGAAAATGGCCAAAAATATCGTTCAACTATTTGAAATAGATTAAGTAGGCGTTTGGTCATGCGATATCATATCATATGAAATCATGAGATGAAATCAACGTTTGGACATGCGATTTCACGCTGATTTCATATCATGAGATGGAATTCCATATTCTCCAAAAATCATGATTTGGAATTTTTCAAATACAAAAATTGATCCACAAGTTTATATTTTGTTAAAACAACCTCATATTTATATCTAATAGCCATTTATTTCATATGTAAATAAAATTTATAATCATATCATAACTTTTTAAAATTTATAATTATCACCAACATAAAATTTATTATTATTTTAAATCAATTCTTACTTTATCATTTATATTCATTATTTTTTATCAAATTTATTTTTCAACCAAATTTCTTACTACTACTTTAATGTTAGAGGAACGAATAACGAAACTTTACGACATAATAAAAAAATAGTTTTTTCATCTACATTGAGTGAACAAGACTGACCGCAATGGCTTTATAATAATTTATTATGCGATTTTACAAAATTTTATTTATTTTGTAAGATTGAATAAATAGTTGGGACTATTTTAATAATTTTACAACTTATGAAATTTTGTGTTTATGAAAAAATATACAACACAAAAACTTCAAATCGAATGTTCAAACGAACTTCAATTTCATCTTATGATTTCATATTTATGATTACATACCATGATTTCATATCGCATGGCTAACGGGCCCTAAATATACCCTTAAACTATTTTTGGGCTTTACAGTATCCTTCATTTCTTACCATTGGACCACCATTGGACCAGACTTACCCTTCTGTTTAACGGAAGAGTTATATGGTATCTCATATGTGTATTAACATGCCACATAGATCTCCACATGTGCACGCCCACCCCACCACCTCCACATAGACGTTTTAATAGCCCTGATTTCACCCTTTATCCACATTCATCCTTTTCTTTATAAAGACTCAAAGAAGCTTCCTTTCACCGGCCCTAATTTCACCCTTTTCCCTCATTTCATCTCTTTCTCCATTAAAAGACCTAAGAAACTTTCATTCACTATAGAGATTTCAAAATTTCCGAGACCCAAAGTAAATTGTAAATTAATTTGAGGTTTGGATATTTATATACAAACTTTTATTGATTAAATTAGCAGTAAGTATTTCTGTAAATTATTACATAAACTTGATGATTGAATTTGTACACTATATGTAGGTCACTTCATGTGGATATTGAGAGTGGCAAGACAAACATCAACTCTCACCAAACGTCGTAACTGTCATAATGAACCTAAAAGATAAATTGAATATCATGAAGGTTGAAAAAAATAAATTGAAAAAGATTGTCGATGCAATGGAAGAGGCTGAAAGGGACAACCTGAAAATGATAATTGAAGAAACGAAATTTATTTCAGCCAAGATGCTAGAAAAGTTATGCTTTTAGAGAAGAAAATCAAAAAGTTGAAAACTATCATTTTCATTTCATATTCATTATGTTTGTTGTAAGGATCATAAAGTGAATATATGTTCTTTATGAAGTGAATGCTTAGGACTCAATGTATGTCCAAAAAGTTGCAAGATTCACCCTTCTGTCTATCTTTTTTTTAAGAAACTCACACCACCAACAAAAAAAATGTATCAAGTCGAATGAATATATGTACACATGGTTCAGTGTATAGAGTCCAGACGGATCAAAATTCGATTTTTGGGTTGGTAGAACGGTGGTGTTCTGAGACTAACACTTTTTGTGTTTCCGTGGGGTGAAGCTACTGTTACTCTTAAAGACATGAATACAATGGATTGAACCTATAGGTCCCTTTCTGCATTCACTATGCACATCTATACAATTTTATGCCATATTAATTACTGAAGAAAAATTGTCCTAAAGCTTGATATGATAGTCGTCCTGTGCCATTATGTTCTTTTAATATCTATTCTTCTCCCTTTGTGTAATCTTTTAGCTCCAAATTCTGTATGATTTTGGTGTTTATTTGATATGCATAGCTATAAGTGATGTTTGAGATGTTTCAACATATTTTTCTTACTGAGACAACATCATGGAGTTACATTTGATAAATTGGAGTGCAACTTGTTTACTTTTTCGTTCATGTATTTCTTTTGGAAGGAAGGAAAAATTGCTATTTGCTTTAACATTTTAAAGGTTAAGAATCATAAAGATTTGAGGCTATTTTTTTCTGTGAGGAGAGTCTGTACCATCATTAAATATGATGGAAATTTGCATTGTGATACTAGTGTGTCCTAACATTGGTTTTTGGCATTGAACAGTTACTGCCCTCGATCGTGCAAAAGCAGAGGGACCTCACTTCCCGTGCCTAAGATTATCGATCAGGTTGGTGTCAAGATTGAAGTTAAGTCCAATGTGAGCAAAGGTATCACTTAACATTGCCTTAAACTTTATGATCACTTGGTTTTGTTGGCACACTATTCTTTTATGTCTGTTGTCTATACTATATCTAGCACCTTGCTTTTGAACTTGCAATGGTTGCTTATTTTGATTGCCAGACAATTTTTCATTCCCTGATAGGGAGAATCTTATAGATTATAACTACAGATAAAACTAGTTACTCCATGATGGACTTGTTCCAACATTGAAGCAAAGTGTCATTTGAGATTCTATCCTACTATCATACCCTTGCTATATTGGGGGTAATGTCATTTTTGGAGCTTGTGATCCATTCTTTGACAGTAGTGCATCCTTTTTAATTAGTGCTCTGACTCTGGTGCTTTTGCACTGAATAATATATTTTTCAGCTCAAATGTGCGAAGGAACTTTCTTCACTTCTCATCACTACTTTTCTACTAGTGAAAGTGCAAATTACGTAACTAGATGAGAACTTACTAGAAGAACTCTAGAGTTCACTATCACTAGCGATTGTTCTCTTGTCAAGAGAGAGGAAATCTGGTCACAAATTGAAAAAAAAAACTCTATTTCCAGGAAATTGCGCACCATGACCTCGTACTGCCTGGGTGAAAGTTCCTAGGTTTTTAGGCCTGGTCGTACAAATTCCACATATTCATGGTCCTTATCAGGTTAATTTATATAGTATTTCAGGAGTAGAATCTCGGATGGAACTATACCAAATAGGGAATGCAGTAGAATCCCATTAAAGACGTGATGATATATCTTATATGCAAAACTACACATCGAGCACAAAATCTTCTTGGAAATGGGAAGATCTAGGATAGGTGGCCAACCTTCTGGTGAGAGCGATGTGCATAGACCAAGTGAGAAGGGATGAAACTTTGTCGACTGCTCGTCGGGCCTTATAGGTGGTGGTATCACACCTTTTCCAAAGAAACTATATGTGTCACTCTTGCGTCATACAACTCCATTGCGCAAGCAGGACCTTCCCTTTCCTTTGACCAAAGGGTCCCTAAAACTTTATGATTTCGTACAGAACTGGGTCTTCATCTTCAAACTTCTCATTTTATGAGACCCAAGTTTTGCTATTTCTATTTTCTAGGTCACGCCTTAACCTCATTACAAAGTGGAGTTTGCTAGCTGCCAACATATCTTTTACGTCACCGGTCATCGATGGTTGGCCGTCTCTGGTTTGCCGGTCGATAAGATCTCTGAGATTGACTAGACAACTGGGTTGGTTTGGCAATTCTTTTCTATTGAAAATGAGTCAACTGTCTTCACGAGTCACCTTCTTCTAGGCTTCGTTGGATGACATGACATTTTCTTTCATATATATATAGCCGGAGTTTACAACCTTTTAGAATTTAAATTTTCTGTGTTTATTCTTTTGTCTCCAAAATATTGTAAGAATAGAAATAGCAACACAAATAGTCCTACTTGGAAAAAGAGTAGTATATAGAACCTTACCTGGCATCCAAGAGTGTGAACTAGTAGTCAATGAAGTGGTTGAGAACCCTAGGTCTCAGGTTCAAACTTAATAAAAACAAAAACACTAGGTGATTTTCCATCTGTCCTAGCTTTGGTAGGCAGAGTTACTTGGTATCTCTTGCGAGGGAGGGGGGAGGTGATAGGTATCCCTTAGATTAGTTGAGGTGCATAAATATGGTCCGAACACCACAATCATAAAATAAAAATAAAAATATGAAATCCTACTTGAAAAAAGACTGTACTTTAGTATCCTAGTCGAAAAAAGGATTCTAATGTAATATCTATAATTAGAGTCTCAATGTAATAATGTAGATACCCAATTTAATAATATTTTCTCCAATACTTCTCACATTGTATCAGAGCTTCTATGATCGTGGTAGAGAATTAATGAGCTTCCTCTGCTGGAAGATGACTATGACCAATATATGCCGCCCATCTGGCGAGTAGTTATGTTAACAAAAATAGAGCGAATGATATATGCATGAACCCCATATTCAGGAGAAACAAACTCAGCCAAACGGATAATTGTGCATCAATTTTTGGTCACTTTCTAGGGTATATGGTACTTGTTTATATTATGATTTCCATATTTTGCATAAAAATGTGGACAAATTTTACAGGCTCTGTCATACCCATAAATATGCCATCAGACATGTAGCAGATTGTTCGAATAGCTCCAAGGTTACCCTTCAAAGTAGTGACTGACTTGGAAATGTTCCGAATATCCCATATTTTGCAGGTTTTATCCTGGTTAATAGTTGCAAACGTTAGGCCATTAGGATGTCATAATTTACAGGTTTTATCCTGGTTAATAGTTGCAAACGTTAGGCCATCAGGATGTCACACTGATGCAAATGGGTAGTCCACATGTACACACAAAGGATAAACAACCTTTCCATTCCTTGAGTCAATAAAAAAACC